CCATAATTGGGGTATAGCAGTGTTGCAGGTTCACAGCTGGGCCTCAGGCACCGTGGGGCAGAGAATCTGAAGGCCACCAGTAGTCCACTTGCAACAAATACTCATTAGGTGACTGTCGCAGTTGTAGGTGAGGGAGCTACACCAAAGAAACCATTCCGACAAGGCTCCTGCCCTTCGTGAGTTTACATTCTAGTGGAACAAAGAGACAGCAATAATAGGCAAATCCTGTCATTTCTGTCGGTGAAGAGTGCCATGAAGACCCTGTAGCAGGACAGCAGGGTAGAGGAGGCAGTGATGAGAGGTGGGGAGGAGGATTGCCATGGGAAGATGCTGCCCTGTAAGCATGAAAGCCCTGAGGGGACCTGGCTGGGAGGGTCAGCACTGGTGCACATGGGTAGGACGGAGGGAGGCAGGAAGGACAGGCCCAGATCTCAAAGAGAACAGCAGAGCAAGAAGTTGACACTTCATTGCAAAGCTGCTGGAAGACATTGGAGGGTTTGAATGAGGGGCGTGACATGAGCAGATTGTAGGGGAGTGAAGAAGCCATGCCCTACCCAGATCCTCCTTAGGGCTCAACTGGGCTGCCTGGCACAGAGCAGGAGTGGAAATAGATGTTGGCTGAATTACTGTCAGTCTTATCTTTTCTCTGTTGAGTCTTAGCTGACTTGAGACCATGTAGTTCCCTTCATCTGGAAAATGACACCAAATAGTCTATAACTAGCTTTTATCAGATGCCTGTTTTAGGAGCCGTGCAAAATACAGACAGCAGCTCACATCTTTCTGCTGAGAGGTAAAACACTTGCTGAGAGTATGTTCTTTGGTTGCAGGCATATACATTACTATTAAAATGCCTCTTGGATTCCTCACTACAATGTCATACCTGGACTTCCACAAAATAATTCCATGTACTGCCTAGTCCTTAGCTCCTCAGCCTGGTGATAGAAAGTCCCCCTCCCTCCTTTCCTTCCTTCCTTCTTTTTCTCCTTCATATTAATCCACTATGAGCTAGGCATGATGCGCTAACAGCGTAGAGATGAAATGAATGCCTTCTCTGCTTGCATTTCAGTGGGGGAGTCAGAAAAGCAAACAAGCACAAGGAAGTGTTACAGGGACGCTGGCAGGTGAGGAGAGCAACATGCTCACGCAGGTGCACAGCAGGAGACCCACAAAGGCAGGTCACCTTGGCACCATTCGCTCGGGACACAGCCGAGAGGTCCGCTTAGGGAAGTGGACAGACAACCTGCAAAGTGTGTCATAAGAGAAAGTACTTACTCTGCAGCGTTCAGAATGAATCAACAGGATCTTTGTGTATCAATATGGGTAAAACACAGTGTTGAGTGAAAAAAATTACAGACATACCTAAAGAGTCATGAAGATTTTAAAAAATCGCTTTATGTATTGTTCTAGACACCAGCCTCTGTGGTCAAAGTACAAACATGGTCTGGGGCTATATACCAAGTTTAGATCGGTGGTTTCCTATGGGGAGCAAGGGAGGAGAATGGGGTCTGGGAGAGGTGTGTCAGGGCCTTCGCTATATTTGTAACTTGTTATTTCTAAAACTGAAGCAAATATACCAAAATGTCAGCACTAGTTAAATCTGGGTAGTGGGTCAGGGATTTTGTCTTATTATTCTCTGTATTTATATACGTATTTAAAATATGTGTAAATTTTTAAAAATACTTGTGGGTCTGGAGTTTGTCGAGAGGGCAGGACTAAAGCTATCGCATTGGCTCACCTTCACAGCAGGCTCAGGTGAAGCAGTGGACTGGGGAGTTTCACCCGGGCCTCGGCACAGGTCACCGGCACCTCACACAGAGGTGAGCAAGGGCCTTGGGAAGCACTTATTTTTCACAAATTAGTTAGAGAAAGAGAAGGAACAGATGGGAATAGGAGGAGGTTTCAGAAAGGAGCAGAGCCAGGAGGGATGTGTGATAAGGAGGTTCAGGAAAGAAAAATAATTTCTAATTATGGGCCAGGCATGGTGGCTCATACCTGTAATCCTGGCACCTTGGGAGGCCAAGGTGAGTGGATCGCTTGAGCACAAGAGTTTGAGACCAGCCTGGGCAACATGGCAAAACCCTGTCTCTACCAAAAAAAAAAAAAATTTCAAAAATTAGCCAGGCATGGTGACGTGTCCCTGTGGTCCCAGCTACTCGGGAGGCTGAGGTGGGAGGATTGCTTGAGCTGGGGAGGTTCAGGCTTCACTGAGCTGTGATTGCACCACTGTGCTCCAGTCTGGATGACAGAGCAAGACCTTGTTCCAAAAACTAAATAAAAAGTTCAAAAAATTACATGGAAAATGTCAACTGCTTTGTATGTAGAAATACAGAGACTAAGAGTGAATCCCCATATGCCCACCCTGAATATCTTGAATTAAATAATTGTCAAGATTTTGCCATATCCTTTTTGCTTCTTCTATTCCTCCTTTCCTTTTTCTCTTTTTTATTTGCTGAAGTAATTTAAAGTAAATCCCAGATGCCATGTTTTTCCACTCCTTCATACTGCAGTGTATAATTCTAAAATATTCAGACATTGAGAAAGATTTTTAAAGAGGGAAGTGTCAGTTGCATTAAGTGTTACAGAGGACTTGAGATGAGGACCAAGGGGCTGTCTCCAGGATGGAGAGCGGCTGAAGGTGCAGAGGTGGCAGGAGGAAGTGCTGACCCTGAGGCGTAGCTGGAATTGGCACTCGGAGTTCACAGAGGGTCTTGGAGAGAAACATTCAAGAAATGCCGATCGTTATTTTGAGAAGTGTGATGGTAAAGAGGAGAAGGAAGATCGCATTCGAGCATGCAGGGATGAGGCACAGAAGTATTTTTAGGATGGAGGGAGATCAATATTTGGAAGCTCAGGTGACAAGTATGAAAAAGGCAGCAAAATTGATGGAAGAAATTCCCAGAGGGACAGAAGGGAATGAGAGGACACTGGGGTGAAATCTCTCATTAAACAGGAAAGAAGTTATTGAAACATCTAGAGGTGGGAGGAGAGGGGCGATGTTCTCAGAGGACACTGAGTTTGCAGTTTGGGACATAAGAATTCAGAACTCCCTGCGGGCAGAGACCAGGATCAACCCAGGATTGTGATATTAGGATTTATCGGGTGGCTGCTGCAGGCACTTTTGTCATCTTGTTTAAGCCCCATCAACGCGTTTTACAGCTCAGGAACGTGAACTCAGAGATGTTAAGTAACTTGCCCAACACATACTTAGTAAATAGCAGAATTGCTTTTAGCGCAGAGCCCTTCTGCACAGCCCTGAGGAACACTGTCCTTAAACCGCAAGACTCACTGGTTCCACCAGTCCTCAGCAGCGTGTGCGTTTCCCTAGCGTCTCCCGGAAGACAGTTCACTGGACTGGCTTGGGTGTGTAAGGGTACCTGGATATGTGAGTAGGGCAGGGGTGGCAGAACATGGAGGATTCAGGGACCTAGGGGTACCTGTCCATCTTTGTTCTTGAATTATATTATTTCCTCTGGAATTCCTCTTCTGCTCTCACCCTCTTTCCTTCCCTGTGCACCCTCTCTGGGCAAACTCCTCTTTGTCCCCAGCTGCCCTGTCTTTTACCCAGGCTTAATAAAACTTGTCCTTCACCTGGCAGCATCACATCCCCACCAATCTGCTGCCATTTGTTGAGAAAGAGAGACCTGGGATGTCGCTGGTCCACTGGCAAGTCACTTAGATGAGGAAGGAACAGTTGCCCTGCGGAGCTCCATGGTGATGTTCGCAGGTGCAGTGTGGGACTAGGAGGGAGGTGGGCTGCCACCCGTAAGTCATATTCATGCTCTTTAGTGAATATCCGTCTGGTCAACAGGCAGGGAACTAGGGCTTAAGCCCACAGGTTAGCATTAACGGGGCCTTACTTGTCCTCCTCCGCGTAAGAGAATGGAGAAAACACTGGTGAGGGAGACAGACCCGAGTTTGGATCACCTCAGGTGCTCACGCAGCTTCCCAGAGCCTGAGGATGCGGTGAGAATAATGCCGGAGAATGATGCACAGGAATGCTCGGGGTGGAGGAAGGGTTGCAGGGGTAGAAGGGTGCTGAATTCTTGCTGGTTTAATTGAAGGGGGAAGGAGTGTGTTTAGGATTCTCAGAAGAGAAATCACTGAGGTAAAATGAGTTTTAGGTGGATGATTTAAAAGATGAAACTTAAGGATTTCTTGGGTAACTAACCTGAGGTGACCCTGAGGGGCTCTGGGCCAATGGCGCCCCAGGGAGCCAGGCCCTGCCTGGGATGCAAACCTAGGAAGGAGGGCTGGGCTTGTCCATGCTTGATGGCTGGAAGGGCCAAACCCAAGCCAGCGCCTGGCTCCATGTGGCTCCTTTCTCTAAACTAAAATGCAGACTAAAATAAGATGTTTTCAACAAGGGAAGAATGCATTGATGATAGCTACCACTTCCTGAACCTTAAATATATGCCAGGCGCCATGATAAGTACATAGAAACCCTTTACATATCTGTTCTCCCCAGCTCTCACACAGCCTGTATGTAAAATACTATCAGTCCCACTATTTCATGGAGAGAGTTCTGAGACCAGAGTACAGAGGCTATTCACTGGGCCATTCACTGGGCCGTTCACTGAAGCTTCTCCCTCAAGGCTTCTGTAATGCACAGGCTCCTGTCGGGCTCTGGAAGGGGCCCAGCCATTCATTCTCTTGGTAATATGTTTTGCAAGTTTGCAAAGTTAGTTATTAATATTTCACTTGTAATTGGTTAAGATAGGTTTCTTCATGCCGATGTCCCCTCCAGCACATACATGTTCCCTGTGTCAAGTGTCGGTGATTTTTTTCCTTCTTTTTGAGATGAGGTCTCGCTCTGTCACCCAGGCTGGATTGCAGTGGTGTGATCTCGGCTCACTGCAACCTCCACCTCCCGGGTTCAAGCGATTCTCCTGCCTCAGCCTCCCAAGTAGCTGGGACTACACGTGCACACCACCACGCCCAGCTAATTTTTGTATTTTTGGTAGAGACAGGGTTTCACCATGTTGGCCAGGATGGTCTCCATCTCGACCTCATGACCCGCCTGCCTCAGCCTCCCAAAGTGTTGGGATTACAGGCGTGAGCCACCGTGCCCGGCCTATCGTCAGTGATTTTAAGGGGAAAAGGCCATTGAGTTGGGGATACGATTAGTTTGAATGAGTGAGAGCTAATCAGATGATTTGCTACCACTTCTGTGTATCAGATGTTCCCTGTTTAGGAATGACTTCCAGGACCCAGGACTACTCCCATTGTCCACTTCCTGACTCACCCAGGGGCATGGTGACAGGGGTGTGTCTCTGCGTGTATGTAGAGGAACATGAACAGTAGAGGGGAACCCCAGATCTGTAGCATGTGGAGTTCAAAGCTACTCTGGAGACTTCTCCCAATTATCTGACATGTAAAATTGTTAGCAGAGTCGATTCTCATCAGCAAACGTCTCTCTTGTCAGGAGCATGCTTAATGTGGCCTATATACTTTTAAGCACATCATGCATTGTTTTCTTTTTCAATGGCAATTCCAAAAAATACAATTCACTGTAGCTGTTGTATCTTTAGGGCAGAAATCAATAGTAGTGCTGTATCTCATGAGTATATCTATGCATGAAGTGGCATATTCTACACATTCCAACTATCGATAATGAAACATTTCTATCAACCTTGCTAGGGGAAAGGCTGAATTATCTTTTATAAAATCGTAGCCAGATGAAGAGTCAATCAGAGCCCCAAAGTACAGGATAAAAGTATTGTGGACGTATATTGGTTGATAAAAACATGAAATGATTTTTCTGTATTGTTTACTGTTTTTGCGGTACTTTCCAGCTCTTCATTATTTGTAATTTGCCGTGAAGTCTTTACATTCTGAACATCAGTTTTATACCTAATTTCATATTTGTAATTGTATATCCTTCTTTTCTTAAGAAAAATACTCCAGATTGTCTAAGATTTAGGCCCACAAAACCTGAATCGATTCTTGATGGAGTAATTAAGTAACAGCTGAAATCACAGCCACTAAATGGCCAAGCCGGGATTTGAAGCCGGAATTCAAACGTGGGCCTCAAAAGGGCGTCTTGGACTCTAATCCGTGCCCCTGGAGTCAGGATCTTGTTAAAGTTCAGACTCTGACTCAGTAGATGTGGGCTGGTGCTCAGGTGCTGTGAGGGTGCTACTCTGTGGGCCACACTCCGAGGAGCCGGGGTCTCTCAGCTAATGTGCTCTGTGGCTAGTTCTCAGACAGTGCAAGGAACCATTGCCATTCAGGGAGGTTGTGGGACTTGCCCAGAGTAGCAGAGTCAGAGACTCACAGCTCCATCGCGCATCTTACATGGTGGCAGGTGGGCTAAGTGGGGAATCCCAGGAGTCAGCTCTGGGTCCCCAAGAGAAATGTCCCTTCCAGCCCCCTACACCTCAGGTGGGAGCTGCCTGTCCCCTGTTCCCTGGGATTGGCCTGAGATGCTGCAATCAGTCTCCAGGCCTGCAAGGTGAGCAGGAGAGCACCGGCGTTTCCAGTGCGACAGACGTACCTGGCTGACCTCTACTTCTCTGGCTTTCTCCACCTTGGTGACAGTGCTGCTCAGCCCCGCTAAGCGTCAGTTTCCCAGTGCATGAAACGAGCTTAATATGACCCACCTCATCGAGTTATTCATGGATTAAATGAGTTATTCATGGATAATATGACAAGTTACACGATCCGACTCTGCGTGCATTGGCCCACAGCACCCATGGAACTGGTGATTGTTGTTCCTGGGCTAAACTGACCTTGGGAATCAAGTGACTGCTTCTTGCAGCATGTACTCTCAGCTTCCTTTTTTCTCAATGTGTGGGAAGAAGAGACTGTGTTAGAATAGAAGGACATCGGCAAACATCTCACACCCTGCAGAGGGCTGAACAGAGGCTAAGGGTTTGATGGCAGCTAACTGTTCCCTGACAGATGTCAGCTTTGCCTGTCTGTCTCTCTTAACGTGTTTGTAGCTGTGCAGCAGGCTGACAGCCTCTGGCATTCTCTTTCTGCCTGGGTCCTCCCAAATGCACCCAAAATCCCAGCCATGCCGCTTGATCACCACAGGCCTGCCTGATGACAACAGGCTGTGGTGATTTTATTTGTCATCTTTAGAGCATGTGTAGCAGTATTTCTTTCCCAGAGGCATCAGATGTTTGTCCTGCAGACATGTTTTCCAGGAGAAAAGGCTAATAGATGAGGGCAGGCTGTATTTCCTGGCTGTCCCAATCCTCTGGAGACTTCCTGGTCATTGGCATCCCCCAGAAGGACATGCACCACGGTGGCTGCAGACTCTAGGTGGTGCTGCCCCAAGCTCTGTAACCTAGAGTGTCCGACATCAGTTGCAGCCTGGCCTGGGTTTGGGTTATTTTAAGCTGCCCCTGCAATGCAGCTGCAAATCCAGAAAAAGAGGACTGAGGGGCCTGCTCATCAGGGAAGAGCTCGGTAAGCACACGTTGTCACTGGCTTAGAGAGCAGGGAGACAATGTAATTACAGTCATTCCAAGAGGTTCATTCTGCTGCATTGCCTGTTTCAGGAGCACCCCTCCCTTTCCTTTGGTGCCCATACTATTTTTTAAAAACCTTCCTGGTAAATTTCAAAATGCCACTGGTAAAAGCAAACTGCCTCACTTAGCTCCTTGGTTATTTGTTTAAAATTCAGTGTATCTCAGTAGAATTTTTTTATGGAAGGGATTGAAGCCCCTGACCCTGCCCTTTGGGGGAAGGGGATGTCCAAGAGTAGGGGGAGGAGCTTTCACCTTCAACCCAAGGACCTCAACTGCATTCCACATGAAGCATTAGCTTTAGGACAGCATGAGCACAGACCAAACCCTGAGAATGCAGTTTGCCCACTCATCTATTTATTAATTTGGTGTGTGAATTAACAGGCTTTGTCCAGAAAGAGGAAGTGGTGAAGCTGTGAAATTGCTTTCCTTGGAAAGCTTTGTTTAGTGGACCCGTATTAGTCCTGAATGGCAGGCAGAATCCTGGGTTCACAAGTGTTAATTTTCCAACTCTGAAGCTCCTTCTATTGCCATTTCCATCTGTCTAACTTTTCAGATTCCTAAGTATTTTTCTGCTTCATTCATGTATGTATTCATCATCCATTCAGTGAGCTTTCATTAAATGTGAACTGTGTGCCAGGACTGCACTGGACATGGGGGCCACTGTCCCTGCCCTTGAGCTTCCAAGACCGTGATGGGCGGATGAGTAGGGGTCAGTGGGCAGACACCGAGGTCAGTGCCACTGGTAGCCCACATGTCTGGGGCATGTGGAGCTGTGGAGCATCACCTACTGGGTCTAGGGGCTGGCGAGGCTTTTTGGAGTTGTCCTAGAGAAACAAGTTGGCAATGATTAGGGAGGAAGTTTAGTGAAAGAAAGAGAAAGACATTTCGAGGGAAATTGGGAAAATGTGGCCAAAGGGTGTACCTGTAACCCTCTCTCCAGTCCGCCACAGCTTTTAGTAAGAGATCAGTTTCCCAAGAGTGTACTGTGGGCTGGGAGCTCTGTGGAAGATGTGCCAGGCATGGCTCGGGTGCTCCTGAGGCTGCTGCCCCCACGTGACATGGAGAAGGCTGTTTGCAGAACAGCCACAGGTAGCAGCACAAAGAACAAGCGTGAATGGGAAACAGATCCCAGGAGCTCTGCCTCCCTCTCATGTGTCCATTCGCTTCTCAATAGTTACCGAATACCTGCTGCACGCACTGTCCTGGGGACTGGGAAAACAGGGAAAACCGCCGCGTCTTGGCCCTTTTGGACCTTTACATAATGATCAGCAAATAGATGAATCTGTGGTATGTCAGACTGTGATGGAGGAAGACAGCTGTGGAGAAAGACAAAGGAAGGAAATAAGATAGAGCCTGCAAGGCTAAGGTGAGGGTGGGAGGTGCCACGCTGACAGGTAACATTCAAACAAATCCTTGAGGGAGTGGCCATGTGGGTACCTGAAGTAAGGATGGTCCAGGCAGAGGAAACAAGCGGGAAAGCCCTGAGGCAGCAGTGGGCTTGTTGTGTTCAGGGAAAGGCAAGGAAAGGAAGGCAGAAGCAGAGTAGTGGGAGGGAGCGGGTCAGAGAGGAGGAGAGGGAGCTGGGGCCAGTGCATGGAGGGCCGGGAGGCTCTATCTCGAGTAAGTTTAGAAGCTAGTGGAGGCTGCGGACTGGGGAGTGGCAGATGTGACCCGTTTCAATGTGAACACCCACTATCAGGTCGGCGTGGGCCCAGGCTTAGAGCAGTGAACTGGTGCCTAACAAAAACAAAAAACAAAAAAACAAAAAAACAGTCTCCAGAAACCAATTAAGCAAAAATGTTTATAGAACATCCAGTACATGAAGGACATATTCCTGGGTAGTTGGTTCCTTTCCTGAAGGAGCGAGCTTTCCGGATGGGTTGAAACATGTGCATGCGCGGGAGGTGACGGCTCACTGCAGGGCAGGGCGCCATCCGTGTTGAAGGAGTGCCAGTGTTTCAGAAATGGACGCAGAGCAGGTCCATTTGATGGACGGGTAAGCGGAGCACTCTCTGTGTGCCCGCACTGTTTTAAGTGCCCAGGGTCTTCTGGGGATGAGATTTGTGTTTTTCACTCGTGTGTGGGACAGTTGAGGATCATGTTAGGCAGATGTGAGCCCTTTCCTGGAAGGAGTTAATCTAAAAAGCATAATCTGCCTCATTTGGGAGGAGCTTAATAAATATCTCTTCAAATGAAGCAGTGGTCAATCAGAAAATTTATATTTTAGCTATAGAATTACCTATCACAGTTTACCATGGGGCATAATCTTAGTCAAGCACCCAAATTAATGATTTCAGACCACAGATAACTGAAAACACCAAAGTGATAAGGTGGCAGGTATTTCAGTTAGCTACTGCTGCATAATGAATGACCCCAAAGCTTAGTGACTTAAAACAATGATTTGTTATTGCTTATCATTCTGTCAGCTGGGAGTTTCTTCTGCTGGCCTCACTTGGGCTCATGCACAAGGCTACATTTAGCTAGGGTGTCAGCTTGGGGATGGGCATAGCTGAGATGCTGGGTCACCTGAGTCTTTCTCTGCATGTGGTATTGTTTTAAAATACAGGTTTTAGCGCTGCCTCAGGATATAGAGCGTAACAAGGGGACTGGGGTGAGCAGCGTGGACCTGTGAGGCCTGTGGGTGCCCGCATCCTCCAGATCCCCCCGCAGCCGACTCCGCAGTGGTCCGCTCCGGTTGCCTGGTGCAGATTTGTGTTCCAAACGGAAGGCTGCGGATTCTCTGCCCGTTATTGTGGCCCCGACAGGCTATGGTTACTTTGGCCACCGCCAGAGCAGCCTTGGCACTATGGAGGAGCCCGGGGCTACCCCTCAGCCTTACTGGGGGCTGCTCCTGGAGGAGCCACGCAGGGTTATGGCAGCACTGCCTGAAGGCAGGAGACCAGATTCGACTCCTTATGGTTTTCCATGGGAATTGGTGATATGTGCAGCTGTCGTTGGATTTTTTGCTGTTCCCTTTTTCTTGTGGAGAAGTTTTAGATGGTTAATGAGTCGGCTTTATGCGGTAAGAGAGAAAACCCTTGCTGAGGCGCTTTCTGGACTAATTGAAGAAAAATGTAGATTACTTGAAAATTTAGCCGTGTTCAAAAAAGAGTATATGCGAAGCCTATGAATTAGGAGTCATCTTTAGAGGATGCCCCCTCTGAGAAGGAGGCAACAGAAGAACCAAAATTTGGAGGCCACCTGTGAAAAGCTGAACAGGTCCAATTCCTGAACTTGGACATGAAATACTCTGTCTAGAAAAGGATAAAAGAAGATCTAAAATTCTAAACAACGATGAATGATGGCGGATTATTCCAAAAGGATACAGTCTCTAGAAGATGAGTCAAAATTCCTCAAATCCCAAGTAGCTGAAGCCAAAATGACCTTGAAGAGATTTCAAATGAATGAAGAACGACTGAAGATAGCAATACAAGATGCTTTGAATGAAAATTGTCAACTTCAGGAAAGCCAGAAACAGCTTTTGCAAGAAGCTGAAGTATGGAAAGAACAAGTGAGTGAACTTAATAAACAGAAAATAACATTTGAAGACTCCAAAGTACACGCAGAACAAGTTCTAAATGATAAAGAAAATCACATCGAGACTCTGACTGAACACTTGCTACAGATCAAAGATTGGGCTGCTATGCTGGAAGAAGACATAACAGATGATGGTAACTTGGAATTAGAAATGAACAGTGAATCAGAAGGTGGTGCTTACTTAGATAATCCTCCGAAAGGAGCTTTGAAGAAACTGATTCATGCAGCTAAGTTAAATACTTCGTTAACAACCTTAGAAGGAGAAAGAAACCAAATTTATATTCAGTTATCTGAAGTTGATGAAACCAAGAAGGAGCTCAGAGGGCATATTAAAAACCTTCAGACGGAACAAGCATCTTTGCAGTCGGAAAACACACACTTTGAAAGTGAGAATCAGAAACTTCAAGAGAAAGTTAAAGTAATGACTGAATTATATCAAGAAAATGCAATGAAACTCTACAGGAAATTAGTAGTAGAGGAAAATAACCGGTCAGAGAATGAGAAACTTTCTAAAGTAGATGAAACGATCAGCCATGGCACTGGAGAGCTGGAGACCTGCAGAAAGCGAGCCAAAGATCTGGAAGAACAATTTGAGAGAGTTCTTCATTTTTATCAAGGGAAGATTATTTCCTATAAGAAAAAGGTAGATGGTAATTGTTTGGCAGCTTGGATTGCTGAAAGAAACCTCAATGATTTAAGGAAAGAAAATGCTCACAACAGACAAAAATTAGCTGAAACAGAGTTTAAAATGAAACTTTTAGAAAAAGATCCTTATGCACTTGATGTTCCAAATACAGCATTTGGCAGACAGCATTCCTCATATGGTCTCTCTCCACTGGGTCGGCCTTCATCTGAAACGAGAGCTTTTCTCTGTCCTCCAGCTTTGTCGGAGGGTCCACGGAGACTCTCACCTTCGCTTCCAATGGGAGGAGGAAGAGGCCTAAGAGGCCCAGGGAATCCTCTGGACCATCAGATTACCAATGAAAGAGGAGAATCAAGCTGTGAGAGGTTAACCAGTCCTCATAGGGCTCCTTCTGACACTGGGCCCCTGTCGCCTCTGTGGGAACAGGACCGTAGGATGATGTTTCCTCCACCAGGACAATCATATCCTGATTCAGCTCTTCCTCCACAAAGGCAAGACACATTTTATTCTAATTCTGCTAGACGCTCTGGACCAGCAGAACTCGGAAGTTTTAATATGCCTTCTTCGGATAAAATGGATGGGTCAATGCCTTCAGAAATGGAATCTAGTAGAAATGATACCAAAGATAATCTTGGTAATTTAAATGTGCCTGATTCATCTCTCCCCGCTGAAAATGAAGCAACTGGACCTGGATTTGTTCCTCCACCTCTCGCTCCAATCAGAGGTCCATTGTTGCCAGTGGATATGAGGGGCCCATTCATGAGAAGAGGACCTCCTTTCCCTCCACCTCCTCCAGGAACCATGTTTGGAGCTTCTCCAGATTATTTTCCACCAAGGGATGTCCCAGGTCCACCACGTGCTCCATTTGCAATGAGAAATGTCTATCCACCGAGGGGTTTTCCTCCTTACCTTCCCCCAAGACCTGGATTTTGCCCCCCCACCCCCACATTCTGAAGATAGAGCGAGTTCCCTTCAGGGTTGAGTCTGCCTTCAAATGAGCCTGCTACTGAAAATCCAGAACCACGGCAAGAAAACTGACAATATTTTTGCTCTCTTCAAAAGTCATTTTGACTGTTCTCATTTTCAGTTGAAGTAACTGCTGTTACTTCAATGATTACACTTTGCTCAAGTTGAAACTTAATGGAATTATAATTCTCAGGATAGTAGTTTGTAAATAAGGATGATTTAAATATGAATCTTATGAGTAAATTATTTCCATTTTATTTTATTCTAGATAGTATAACTATTTTAACTTGATTAATCCACTATTATCTAAACAATAGTGGGAGTTTTATATATGTAATCTTGCAGGTGGGGAGGTTTTAAATTCTAAAGGCCTTGTCCTTATTCCAAGAACTGTATTTACTGTAGTTGTAGACAAATGTGAAAGTAACTTTATGCTTAATTAAATAAATTTTAGTTGATTTAAAAATATATATAGGTTGCATTATTCTTCAGGTACGGAGAGACCGACAGATCAAGGGTCGATTGCCACTGAAAAGAGAGTTTGTTACTCACAGATCCGAGAGAAGGGAAAGTGCTGTGCCATGCAGCACCAAATAGGGAGACACTATGGTCAGCGAGAAGGCAGGAGTGATGGAAAAACATGAGCAGAGCTTTTATGGTGGTTTCCACGGGAAGGAGTGAGTGAGGCAAAGTGAGCAGGGTTAAGGTTAGCTATTATAGTTTGAGTAATTTCAGCAGGCTCTGGGTATAGGGGCTGTCCCTAGTTGTCTGATACCTGGCCCTGGGGTGCTTGGGGCAGAGGAACAGTGGCCTAGAGTGTGTGAGTCCTGTGGAAGGCTGATGAAGTAGGTAGCTGGGGGCATGAGCTCTGGACTGGTTAGTTTGTGTTTGAAAAGCACGCTCATGGGCAAGTTTACTGTCTGTAGGAATTGGCTAACCCTGAGAGGGACAGACCTGCCAAGGTCACCAAGACCCTAGATGTCGAAGCGTCAGAATACATAAAAAGACATGGTTAATATGGTATCAGAGCCTCTGTCTTCATGTGGCCTCTCATGAAGGGCTCTAGAGTGAGCTCCCTTAAGGGATGTCAAAGGCTGTTCAAGACAGCAGAAGCCACAAGGCCACGTAAAGCCTCAGCTTGGAAGTTACGCAACAGCACTTCTGCTGCATCCCTTGGGTCAAAGCAAGTCACAGATGCACCCCAGATCCCTGCTCATGTCGAGAGGAGAGAGGAACATTAACCATGGGAGGGGAGGGTCATTACAGTTGTTTTTGCAAACAACCTGCTACAGAAAGTGTGGCTTCAGAGCACTGCGAAGGCCTTTCTGAACAGACCAGATCCAACAGGAAGAGCAGAAAGAAGCTGGGTTCCAGCTAGTTTGTCTTTGCTAGTGTGGAGTCAGGGTATAGCTTCCCTTTCACTGTTGGTCCCCAGCATCAAGGGTCAGTTGGGTGTTTGCCTGGGAGCCTGCAGGGACTGTTTGTACTTTTAGAGGAGGGTTGGCATGGCTTTGGGTTGCTGTCTCCGAAACTGCCCCAGGGCCTGGGATCCCAGGGAGTGCCTGCCTGGGCTGGCAGGGAGCCCAGGCCTGTTTGTAAACTGTTTGAATGTCTCAGGGTCAGGGTCTCTCATGGGCATATTATTTTCTTATCAGGAGTTAAAATAACTCTAGAACTTCTCCCATAGAAATGCAGATGCTTTATTATCATGAAAGTACCCTTTGTAACGCATATGGAATTAGGCCAGTAACAACCAACATTTGCTCCACACTTTAGGGCCCATGAAGCACTTTCTCATATGTTCTTCCTTGTTCTCGCAGTCACCTGTGGTTAGGCCTCATTGTCCTAGTTTTTCATATGAGAACACTGAAGCTCTAGTGGGGCTCAAAATTGGCTTGGGGACTTAGGAGTTGCCCTGGGCCCAAGGGTGGAGCTATGGGAGCCCTACAAAGCCTGCCCCGTTTCATGCCATCGCTTCAGTGAATCTCTTCTCTCCCCCATACCTGCTCATTCTGTGTGGCTGCACTCATTAGATTATTTCACCCTTTGAATTAGATGCCTCAGGGAGTCCCCTGAGCGGGCTAAGTTAACCTTTGCAGGGGGTACTGACACCCCCAGGTACAGCCCAGCCCTGCATGCTGCTTTTTGCTCCAGGGACCCCAGCCTGGTCCACTATTTGCTGGGAGAAGATTTCAGTCCCTCCAGAACACACAGCCTTTGAGGAGCCACAGCTCCCAGAGCCCGAGCCCCAAGTCACCACTGGGTGCAGTGCACGCTCCTCTGCTCTGCAGTGGTGGAGCTTCATCCTGGTGAGTCATTAGTTCTGTGTCTACAGGTGTCTCAGCGAGACGCCTACCTGTCTGCTTCACAGCCCCAGGTGAAGCCGTCATTCTCAATCCGGCTGGGGAAGAGAAGGCAACATCACAGCTGAGTTCCTCTCCAACATAGAACCACGGGGCATTGTCCTCAGACACACGCTAATATGAACCCAGGCTAATGAGGCAGAACCTCTCAAAATAGCAATAACACCTTGGAAACCAAGGTGTAGTTTTTTAAATGCCACGTGGCCCTCGATCACATTTTGCATTTCCTAGCACTTATTCTACCATTTTTACAGGGACCTGTGGCAGGCAGAGGGGCTCGGGGCAGCTTCCCTGCAGGATTCCACTTCCTGCTTGGGTCGACCCTGCTGCTGCGAGGGAGGGCTTGCCCCTCGCCTCCCTGCTCTCTGGGTGTTTCCTTTGTGAAGGGAGGGACCTGGCCTGCTAGAAAACATCTCAAAGCCCTGTCACAGAGGAACTCCAGCTTCCCTTAGGATGCTCTGAAGAAGGTGCTTTCCAAATGAGAGGGCCTCAGGAGGGCAGTGGTACCTCCCTGACTGGGTGAGTCAGGTGCGACTCTAGCCAAGGTGAGTGGGGCCTGCTGTGTCCGAGGTGGTGAAAGCAGGCACTGAGACTGCTCCGGAATCATGGCTCTCTGAGGTTGTTGCTCTGAAGTCCTGCCTCTGGGCCCTCGTCCAGTGTCGTGACAGCTCTTTTCTCTGGAAGAGGACAGTCTCTCTCCCTGCACGAACTGCTTTCAGCCTGACATTTCTTCTCCTGCTTAGGGCCGTTCTCTGTGGACTGCTTCGTGGTGTCTGCTGTTTTTCTTAGCTCAGTGCTTCTCAATGAGGGTGCTTTTGACCTCCCACGGGGGCATTTGGTAATGTCCAGAGATATTTTACACAGTAACTACTGGAGGTGTGCTACTGGCATCGAGTAGAGGCCAGGGATGCTGCTAAACACCCCACAACACGCAGGACAGATCCCCACACACCCCCACAGCAATTCTCTATTCCAAAATGTAGTACTAATTAGGTTAAGAAACCCTGCTAATGATGATGTTCCCCTACCTGGTAAATAAAATTCAAGGTTCTCAGCCTCCAGATCAGTACAAAATGGATGTTTCTTGACTGAAATGCTTGGAGCCAGAAGTGTTTTAAATTTAGGATTTTGGAAAATTTGCATTATATTTACTGGTTGAGCGTTCCCAACCTGAAAATCTGAAATCGAAAATGCTCCCATGAGCATTTCCTTTGAGCATGACCTTTGAGCATCATGTTGATACTCAAAAAGTTGCAGAATTTGGAGTATTTCAGATTTTTGGATTGTTCAACCTGTACTTTTCACAGTATCTTGAAAACGGACCATGCTTATCTTTCCTCTTTTGATCTAGAGCCTCCTTCTTTTCCACGCCCATACCGCGAATTCCTATTCAAGCCCAGAGAAAAGTATTCATTACTACTATGCGTTAGCTACTGAAGGCCAGGTGATGTTTTCCCATATCTAACTCGTCATGATCATGATCATCATTATCATCATCATCATCCTCATCAACAATTACCTTAGGGTCATCATAAGAATTGCATATAAGCCAGTCACCAAGCAGTCGTCAGTCATCTGCCTTTAGCCCAGTGCTACCTGAATTCAGTTTCTGTCATCATGTATTTCTTAATTTCAAAATAGGCAGCAGCATTAAATCTGGTCCATGGGCTCATTAACATCATCATCATCATCATCATCACCACCACCACCACCACCGCCATCATTGTCATCATCATTGCAAACCAGGCAACAAGCAGTCATTAAGCTCATGCTGATTCTGGTGCTGATGGTGAATGAGAAGCAGCGCCTGCAGAAAACCACCTCATTCCTAGCATCCCAGGGCCACAGGTGCTCTGTGTTAGGTTGAGTGTTCACTTGTCCAGTGTGAATGTATTTTTGTTAAGAGTTATTGGCATCTGAGTTTCTGGTGACCAGGTGCTTCTTTCTAAACACAAACACACACACACACACGTGGAAGACTGTTGGAGAAACCTAAATGGTGTCATAGGAGGCAGGTGGGAGAAGACGCTTTGGTTGCTCAACCAGGTATGATTCTGCCAGACAAAAGACCCTATAGGTTCTCTTTTCTGCCCCACCACTGCCTCATTATGGCTATGATAGGTTTATTGAAGCTAAAGCTTGGGCATTCTGGGGCAGCCTTTGCCCCACACCCACACGAGTCTTTTTCCTTTTTCAATTGCCATTGAAGTCTGGAAATAGCACTCTGCCTTTTCCTCTGGCCCCATGGAAACTGGGACTTCTGGGTGTTTAACTTAGCATCTGACTCCATTAGATGCTCAGGGCTTCCTGCACTTACACCTAGAGATTGGGAAAAGGAGTGTTCTGGGGAAAGCAGGGGGGACCAGTTTGCTGTCTATTTGGTGGCTTTCCCTGTACAGTGGAGAGAGCAGCCAGAACCTGAAGTGACATCTGAGACATTGTCATCTGACGTAGAGTCTCTCTTCCCTCCCTGACCTCGTTCCTGTGCCGCCTCTCCCTCCCTCCCACTTCCAACAGTGCACTTAGGAATGAGTTATGAAGTGTCTTATTGGAAAGCAAGACTTGAATAGCAATGAAGGGCAGACACTATAGTTAGTTATTATTGATCATCTCTACCTGCACTTTCTATATTTGCAAGCACTTTTCGGGACTTAGTGAGTAATAAATAAAGTGTCTCTAGATCACCTTGCTGCTTCCCACTGCTGCTGCCTCGTGTATGCAGTTCTAGTTGTGTACCCACTGGATACACACACTAAGGAGGTGAGACCTTCGAAAGAAATGCAAAATATTTCCACAATTGTGTTGGTGTACAAACTGACCTGTCAAAACCAAAACTAAATTTAGGTAGATTATAATCAACACCCCCAGTGGATGTTATCGGTGCCTTGTCCAGGGCCCCTTTACCAGGCGGAGGCACTCATCTCCCAACTTTGAGTATTGCTCACAGCAGCTGCCTGCTTCCTGAAGAACTGCCCTTGGCAGAGCAGAAGCCACCATGCTAGGAAGTTATCCACTCCCTCGGCATCCCATAGCCAATAACTGATTGCCATCAGGGCTGTGTTCGTTATCTGTTTCTCAAAATAAATTACTCCAAAACTTAGTGCCTTAAACGGACAATGAATATTTGTTATTTCACAATCCTTGTGGGTCAGGGATTTGGGAGCAGCTTAGCAGAGTGATTCCAGTTTGGGTTCCTCAGGAGGTTGCCCACAGACTGTCCATCAGGGCTGCAAGTGACCTGCAGGCTTGACTGAGGCAGGTGGCCCTGCCTCTGGGGTGGCTCACTGGCCTGACTGGCAAGGTGGGGCCGGTTGTTGGCAGAATGCTCAGTCCCTCTAACCATGGGACTCTCCCAAGTTCAGCTTCTAGAGTAGCTTATGATAATATACTTTCTCTAACACCTATATTCTAAAAGATATTTCATAAAATAACCTTCCTCTAATTTTGAAATCTGCAACATTTCAGCAGGTCGTTTTAGACATTCAGAGGCTGAACATTTTAGATTCTGGTTCTGAAGGCATGTGGGTGCCCTCAGCGTCAATAGCAGCAGCTAATATTTCCCAAAGCTTTTCCATGCACCAGGCTATGAGAAGGGCAAAAAGTGTTGTGATTCTGTTGAAGCAATGCCCACTACCCCTTCAGTCCCACCTTGAAAATGTGACAAGGCAACTGGGAAACTATCTTCAACGTCAGTGCTTTTTTCATTTTGCTTCTCTTGATTTTTACATCTTATAAAACTGAGACTCCACCTATATTTGTTCTTTCATCCAATGCACGTTGGCTTCTGACCTCACCCCTGAAACGGCTTTTCCAGAGGTCTGCAGTAACCTCCTGAGACCACATCCCAAGTGATTCTTTTCAGTTTTTTTATTACGTGACCTTTCCATGGAGCTTGACCTCAGTGAATAACTTCTCTTCTTGAATCTCCTCCTTCTTGAAACTCTTCTGTCTTGGATTTCGAACTTGGATGACAGAGTGAGAAAGGCCTGGCATGTTTGCTCTGGACTGGGTAACCCAATGGAGCTATGTGGATTTTCTGCACAAATTTGGGATGTAAACACACCCAGTGGGGCTTCTGCCCAGAAGATTGTAGCTAGGCTCGGCTGGAGGTAGGGAAAGCAGGGAGGAGGCTATGTGTTGGTGGGAGGAGGCTGATAGAGCCTGAACCAGGGGAGGCAGTGAGCCTTAGGAGAGAGCAGATAGATTCTAGATACTTAGGAGAGCCACTGTCACAGAGCTTTGTAAAGGGACTTTGGATGGAGTGGGCACTGGGGGAGGACAGAAAGGAAAATAGAGGCGCTGAAGATGTGTCCAGGCTTCTCCGGGGGTAGTTAGTAATGCCATTGACACAAGTCAACTGATGTATTTCTGTGTTTTTGCTGAGTTCTTCTTCGTTTTTGACTTTTCTTGGGTACATGAATTTCCAGAAGTATCTGTTCCAGGGGCAACTGACAACTGAGAGGGGTGTGAGGCATGGGAGGGCGGGTGGGGCACAGGCAGCTCCACTGGGCACCACCCCTCCAGCAGGAGTGGTTTCTTTATATGTACCAGGGATATTTCTGCCTTGAACTCTAGACCATGTGGAACTTGGATTTTAGCAGGTCAAATGCCAGGCACAATTTTCTAGATGGGCCAGATGCAACCACACTCAGGAACCATACTTCATTAAAGTGTGTGTGGACCCAGGTTCTCTTCCTTCACGATTTTGTGAGTACAAATGAGGTTGGACATTAACATCACATATCTGAGAAGGCTGGGTCTCACTTAAAAAAAAAAAGTTTTATTGAGATATAATTCACATCATAGATTTCACCCTTCTAAAGTTTATGGTTCAGTGGTTTTTGATATATTCCTAGAATTGTGCAACCATCACCACTTTAAAATTTTAGAACATTTTCACCACCCTTCTCTCCCTTCTCTCCCACAAAACTCTGTACTCATTAGAAGTCATGCCTTACTCTTTCCTGGCAACCTTGTATCTACTTTTTGTCTCTACAGAATTGTCTATTCTGAGCATTTACTATAAATGGAACCATAAAACATGTGGCTTTTTGTGTCTGGCTTCTTATACTTAGCATAATGATTTAAAAGTTCACCCGTGTTGTAGCATGTATCAGCAATACATCATTCATTATGATTGCTGAATAATAATCCATTTTATGGATATATCACTTTTTGTTTGTCTATTCATTCATTGATGGATACTTGGGTTGTTTCCATTTTTTTTGGCTATCATGAATAATGCTGGCATGAACATTTGTATACAAGTCTTTGTGTGGACATATATTTCATTTCTCTTGGAGAGACACCTGGGGGTGGAATTGCTAGGCTATTATGGTAACTGTATCTTTACATTAACCAATATTGAAGAACTGACACGTGGGCTGCATCTTTTTTCTGATCCCATCAGTGATACATGAGAGTTCCAATTTCTCCACATCCTCACCAACACTGTTATTGTCTGTCTTTTTTATTTCAGTGCATATGAAGCGGTATGTCATTGTGGTTTTGATTTGTATTTCCTTAATGATTAATGGTGTTGAGCGTCTTTCCATGTGTGTATCGGTCATTTGTGTATCCTCTTTGGAGAAATGTCTATTTAAATCATTTGCTTATTTTTAAATTGGGTTATCCTTTTATTGTTGACTTGTAAGAGTTATTTATTCTGGACTCCAGTCCCTTATCAGATCTATGACTTGCAAATATCTTCTCCCATTTTGTGGCTGTCTTTTCACTTTCTTGATTGTGTGCTTTAAAGCACAAAAGATTTTTATTTTGAAGATGTGCAATTTACATTTTTTTCTTTTATTGCCTGTGATTTCAGTATTTATCTAAGAAACCATTGGCTAATTTAAGGTATAAAGATTTATTCCCAGGTTTTCTCCTAAGAGTTCCATAGTTTTAACTCTTGCATGTAAGACTATGACCCATATTGAGTTAATTTTTGTATGTGGTTTGAAATAGGAGTCCAACTTCATTCTTTTGCAGGTGAATATCCAGTTGTCCCAGCACCACTTATTGAAAAGACTGTTCATCTCCCATGTGATTGTCTAGGTTTGTCTAAATCAATTGGCCATAAAAGTAAGGATTTCTGTTCATAATTTAATAAAAATTTAGTTCTATTCCATTAAACTACGTGTCTAGCCTTTTCTAGTGCCATGCGGTCTTAATTACTATAGCTTTGCATTAAGTTCTGAAATTGGGAAACTTGAGTCCTCTAATTTTGTTGTAAGATTGTTTCGGCTATTCTGGATCCCTTGCATTTTTATATGAATTGTAGGGTCAGTTTGTCAATTTCTACATAGAAGCCAGATGACATTTTTGAGAGGATAGTGTTGAATCTGTGTGTCAATTTGGGAAATGTTGCCATCTTAATACTTAAGTCTTCTGATTCATGAAGATGGCATGTCTTTCCACTTATTTAGGCCTTCTTTAATTTCTTATCATGATATCTTATAATTTTTAGTGTGTAAGACTTGCATTTTCTTTGCAAGTGCCAAATGCTACTGATTAGAAGTACACTGGAAAAATCTTTCAGTTGCTATACCCTTTTCTGGCTTTTATTACTGTTTTTAATTGACACATAATAACTATATATTTATGGGATACAGTGTGATTATGAAGCCTTGCACCTATGTTGTTTATGTCAAGTATTTTTTCTTCTAGATGCTATTGTAAGTTGTTTCCTTGATTTCATCTTCAGATTATTCATCACTAGTATATAGAAAAACGATTGATTTTTTTAATATTGACCTTGTATCCTGCGACTTTACTGTACTTGTTTATGGGTTCTGAAAGCGTTTTTTATGGATTTTCCAGATAAGAGATCATACCATCTGTGAATAGAGATCGTTTCATTTACTAACCATTATTTTTGCTAAATGAATCAATAAGTAAGAGCAGTGGGAGTAAGACATGCAGTCTAGACAGTCTCTAGAAGGTGGCCTTGAGAAGGCCAGCAGTGATCAGCAGTGGATGAGAACAGGTTTAGGACTGTGAGACTGGAGTGGGGTTGAGGCAGGGAAAGTGAGGAGGAATGATAGGCAGGTACAAGGTAGAATCGAGTGAGTGGTAGATCAGGAAATCCTAGACAACAGGTTGGTGGCTCAGTCATTTGTATTACCCTTTCAGCAAGCTGGGTACCTCTCCTGGAACACATTTAAAGGATCCAAAGGACTCCTTCTAGCAGTGCCATCGTAGCAGGAAAAAGATGTAAGTCTAAGCCATTCTTGTTGGCTTTATACAGACAGGATAGGTTGTGAAGTAGGCAAAGGGCAGAAGAGGAGAGAGAACTAACATTTATCATCTAGTATGTGCCAACATTTTGCATATATTGTTTAGTTTAGCCCTTACAGTACTCCTACTTTTGCAAATGTGAATCTGGTGTTTTTGTGTAATATTCAGAAAATGCATGATATTTATGTAGTGGTAGCTGCCATCACACCGTAAGTCTGTTGCCCATTTCTCCATCCATGAGGCAGCCGTCCTCTCTATTATAAGGAGCTCATTTCTCAATTAGTTCTTTGAAAACTGAAAAGCATGTAGATCTAGAACAATATCCTGCATTAGTGATTCTTAACCAGGAGTGTGTTAGGAGAAAACTCCCCAGTAGTTTCTTGTATTTCTGTACATATGAGCAGGGCCACTGCACTTTTGTTCTAGTTGTCTTTTTATTTATTTTATTTGTTTATTTTTTGAGACGGAGTCTCGGTCTGTCACCAGGCTGCAGTGTAGTGGCACAATCTCTGCTCACTGCAACCTCTGCCTCCCAGATTCAAGCGATTCTCCTGTCTCAGCCTCCCCAGTAACTGGGACTACAGGTGCATGCCACCACGCCCAACTAATTTTTGTATTTTTAGTAGAGACGGGGTTTCACCATGTTGGCCAGGATGGTTTCAATCTCTTGATCTTGTGATCCACCCACCTCAGCCTCCCAAAGTGCTGGGATTACAGGCTTGAGCCACCACTCCCAGCAGCCCCTGCCCTTTTTTTTTAAGATGGAGTCTCACCCTGTCACTCAGGCTGGAGTGCAATGGTGCGATCTCAGCTCACTGCAACCTCCACCTCCCAGTTTCAAGTGATTCTCCTGCCTCAGCCTCCTGAGTAGCTGGGATTACAGGCGTGTACCACCATGCCCAGCTAATTTTTGTGTTTTTAGTAGAGAAGGGTTTTACCATGTTGGGTTTACCTGGTTTTACCAGGCTAGTCTCCAACTCCTGACCTCAGGTGATAGACCCACCTCGGCCTCCCAAAGTACTGGGATTACAGGCGTGAACCACTGCGCCCAGACTAGTTCTAGTTATCTTTTCAACTATTTTTCCAAGAAGATTATAAAGGAAATCATCTTGGCAGACAAAAATAAGAGTCCCCCCTCCAGGGAAGAGAGATTTGCTTACTGTGTATGATAATAAAGATAATGTTGGCCAGGCACAGTGGCTCATGCCTGTAATCCCAGCACTTTGGAAGTCTGAGGCAGGCAGGTCACTTGAGCCCAGGAGTTCAAGATCAGCCTGGACAACATAATGAGACTCCATCTCTACAGGAAAAAAAAGTTAGCCGGGCATGGTGGCGTGCGTATGTGGTCCCAGCTACTTTGGAGGCTGAGGCAGGATGGTGGTTTGAGCCTAGGTCAGGGCTACAGTGAGTCATGATGGTGCCACTGCCCTCCAGCCTGGGCGACAGAGCAAGACTGTCTCCAAAAAAAAAAAAAAAGAGACAGCGTCTTACTATGATGTAAAAGTTGGGCAGGTTTACCTGCAGTCCTTTCAGCCTTTCAAAAGATTTGGGTTTCTGAAACTTGGGGCTCCTCTGCTGTGATGAACCCAACATGTGCTCTGTATTCACCTGGGCCACTGCATCCTCTGGTGCCAGAGAACAAAGAGAACCAACCTGAACATGAAGTTTATGCTGCTTGCTGTGCTTTGTTGCTGACTCAGGAGTTTTGTGTCTTCTGCCAGTGTGCATGGAACTGTGGCAGGCTAACTCCTGTCAAGGTGCTCATCTAAATCACCTGTGCGGTTTCAAAAATTCATACCTGCCCGGGCCCTACCCCAGTGATTCAGATTCAGTATGTCTGGAGTGGAGTCCAGGTACCTGGGTTTCTCTAAGTTCTCTGAATTGTCCTGAGCACATGACCATTGGAGACCACTGTTCTCACAACGGTCAGGCCCCCACGCCTACCAAACTGGCCAAGCTTCTGGCGGGGATCAATGCGCAGCTGGAAGTACTCAGCGAGGTTCTGGAGACACTGTAAGAGGGCAGCTGCAGGGGTGCCTCATGGGAAGAGATGGGCCTCCTCTGTTGGTTGCAACAGGCTTTGTCTCATAACCACAGCATCCCCCCTCTCAGGGCATCCGGCTGGGTGTGTAGGGCATGTGCACCCACAACTTCTTAGAGAACAACCTTCTGCAGAGGGCAGTGACTGCAGAACCAGGACCTGCCCTGAGCGTTTTAGCCAGGCTGTGAGAGGGT